TTCTTCTTCTTCTTCTTCTTCTTCTTCTTCTTCTTCTTCTTCTTCTTCTTCTTGCTGTTATTATTGTTATCGTTGTTCTTGTCATTTCTGTATTTTCTTGTTGTTTTTGTTGCTGTTTGTTTGTCCGTTTGTTAGTTACAAAATTATGAACACATTTAATCATTTCTTTGAATGAGGCGTTGAAACATTATATCATAATTGTTTTCTGCTGTTTAAAAAAACACAACAATAATAAAGACTACAAATACATTTGACTGTAAAGTTAAAATATTATTATTATAAGTCCCGAGAATCGAAGCGGAATAATAAAAGTCGCCACAGACCAGTAGTCTACTTACTTACTTACTACCCGTTACGCCATCTGGGGTTTAGGGCAGCAACAAAGTATCTCCAGCTCTGTCTGTTTTGGGCCATCTTGGTCAACGTTCCCCACGAATGATTCCAGGACTTCATTTCAGACTCTACTGTGCGTCTCCGGGTCACTTTGGGTCTGCCCCTTTTGCGACGTCCTTAGGGTGTCCAGTGGAGAGCAGTCTTCACAATAGAGTCTGGTTCTCTTCTCAGAACATGCCCAATCCATCTCCATCTTCTCCTTTTTATTATGGTGGTCTACACGCGTGTTTTAACGCCCCCTTCGACACATTTTATATCATGAATTAGGAGACGGGCTTCGACTCTATTAGGGCAGTCCGGCCGAGAAGGATACATCTCAGCACAACTACCGAGATACTCGACACAGAAATTTAATTCTCCCCACCAGAGAATTGAACTCAGGTCTTCTGTTTGCCACGGCGAAGTGCCTATAACCACTACACCACAGACGCCAGTAGAATAAGACCTGGGGGCCAGAGAGAGAGAGAGAGAGAGAGAGAGAGAGAGAGAGAGAGAGAGAGAGAGATAAAAAGTGTTCTTGAGAGAGAGCGAAAGAGAGCGAGAGAGAGCGAGAGAGCCAGAGAGAGCCAGAGAGAGAGAGGTAGACAGAAAGATAGACAGACAGACAGGCAGACAGACAGACAGACAGACTGACAGACAGACAGACAGAGAAAGCGAGGTAAATAAAGGATGAAAAGAAACAAAGAGACATGAGCAAAAAGGAGGGCAGGGGTGAGGCTGCGGAAGGCGGTGGGGGTGTATTTCACAACAAAACGATCTTTAAAAAAACAAAAAAACGTATAGATCTGCAGTCAGTCGATTTTCCAGAATTTTCCCTTAGACATAGATATTAGAAACGAAAACGAAAATCTAACCTAAAAG